CGGCCCCATTTCAAAGCAAAATAATAATAAAGTTATTTATCCGAAACTAAAGGGATTAAAATTTGCCCATGTGAATATAACTAGCCTTCCAAAACATTTAGACGAATTAAAATTATTTCTCCAACAACTACCATTTGAAATATTAAGTTTAAATGAAACGAGATTAGATGAGACAATTCAAAATAACATGGTTCAGATTCCAGGTTATGAGATAATTAGACGAGATAGGAATAGAAGAGGCGGAGGGGTTGCTTTTCTTGTCAAGAATAACTATTCGTATACTCTACGAGACGATCTAATTCCAAAAGATCTTGAAGCAATCTGTATTGAATTAACGCTACGTATGAGTCGGCCAATTTTGATTCTGACTTGGTATCGACCTCCTGATTCGAATGCAAAAGTATTCGATTTGTTTGAAGAATTTCTGCAAAAGGCTGAGGCAGAACATAAGGAATTGATTATTCTAGGCGATTTGAATTGCGATTTGTATACAAATACGGCAAGTTCAAGTACAATTACAAAAAATTAATTGAATTATTGGATGTTTATCAGTTAAAACAACTCATTAAGAAACCTACACGTGTAACAGCTAAAACAAGAACATTGATAGATGTTATTATAACTCAATTGGGAAATACGAATGTTACTGCTTCTGGAGTCATACACCTTGGAATTAGCGACCATAGTCTGGTGTATACTTGTCGCAAAATTAGTACCCAAAGGGAAAAACCAAAAATTGTTGAAACTAGGCAATTTAAACATTTTAACAGTCGAGCATTTGAAAATGACTTAAATCAAGCTTTTTCTGCTAATGATGTTTATCATCTTGATGACCCAAATGAGATTTGGAATGTATGGAAAACTATATTTCTATCTTTAGCTAATAAGCATGCACCTCTAAGACAAAGGAAAGTTAGAAGCACTTATAACCCTTGGATAACTACGGAGATTAAGTACCTTGGTCACCGCAGAGATTTCCTAAAAAAGAAAGCGGTCACGCATAACTCAATCTATTATTTTAATGAGTATAAACAATGTAGGAACAATTTGAATAAAACAATCATGGAAACCAAAAGCAATTATTATAAAAGTAAACTAAATGCATGCAAGGACCACAAAGAGAATTGGAAATTGATTAATGAATTGCTAAACAATGCATCAAAAACTACTATAATTAATGAATTGGTTGTTGACGAAGGAAAAATAGTAGGAGATGAGAATATTGCAGAAGAATTTAACAGCTTCTTCTCGCGCATGGGTACACGTTTAGCTGAAAATATAGACGCAAGTGATGTTGATCCACTGTCTTTCGTAACATCTACACCACACAACTTCGATTTTCAAACTATATCCCGTGATAAAGTTAGGGAGGAAATTAAGCAAATGAAAACTGCTAAATCATCGGGCTATGACAAAATTTCTGTGAAACTATTGCAGGTCGCTGGGGGTGCAGTCGTTGTGCCACTAACGTATATATTTAACCAATCTCTTAGGACTGGAATTTTTCCAGATGACTGGAAAATTGCTAAAGTAACACCTATCCACAAATCAGAAGAAAAAACCCTTTGCGGTAATTATAGGCCGATTTCTGTCATTTCTATAGTTCGCAAAGTATTTGAGAAAGTTGTACATGAACAATTAATGAAATATTTGGAACACCACCACATAATTTCCAAATTTCAGTCTGGATTTCGTGTAAATCATTCAACTGAAACATCATTACTACATGTAACTAATAGCTGGTTAGCAAACATGGACGCTGGTTTGATTAATGGTGTCCTATTTTTGGACCTTAAAAAGGCCTTTGACACGGTAAACCACAAGATTCTTTTATCCAAATTGGGATGTTATGGAATTCGTGGATTAGCACTGTCATGGTTTCAATCATATCTTAGTAACAGGAAACAAATTTGCAAAGTAAATAACTCGCTATCAACCTTCCAAAATATTACATGCGGCATCCCACAAGGATCTAACCTTGGGCCACTTCTGTTTACAATTTATATAAATGATCTGCCAAATAGTTTAGAAATAACTGAACCCGCCATGTTTGCTGATGATACAAGCTTAACTGCAACTGGGGAGTCTTCTTTTGAAATTGAATACAAATTGGGGGTGGAAATCCAAAACGTTAAGACTTGGTTAGATGCAAACAAATTAACATTAAATGAAGAAAAACCCGAGTATATGCTAATCGGCTCAGGAAAGCGCTTAAAACAGATCAGAAATGACCCTATTATTAAAATTAGAGATCATATAATTAAACGGGTTTACAAGAAAAAGGTCTTAGGCTTAGAAATAGACGATAAATTACAATGGACAAAACATGTTGAAAAACAAACTAAAAAGATTTCGTGTTCTATAGCTATGTTACGAAAAGTGAAGCCTTACGTACCTCAAGCAACACTACAGATGATGTATAAGTCATTTGTACTCCCCTATTTCAACTATTGTTCAACTATATGGTATGATGGTAATAAAATGCACGCCGAAAAAATGCTGAAATTGCAAAAGCGTGCAGCACGGATCATTACCAGTTCGGGCTTAGAAGAACGATCTTCTGAAATTTTTCAAATGCTCAAATGGACAAAAATACAATCAATACTAAAAAAGAGAGAATTAGTGATGACATTTAAAGCACTTAGGGGTATGGCTCCAGAATACTTAACACAGATGTTTCATGTCTCCGTTAACCAAACCTACCAACTACGAAATAATCATCGAAAGCTTTACCTACCAAAACCTAAGACGAATTTTTTAAAACGAAGCTTCTCCTATAGAGGAGCAGTTTCATGGAACCAAATGTTAATGGAAAAACTTCCAATTACGGAAATACCTGAAACTTCCATCTGTTCTTTTAAAAAATTAATAGATGGCTTGTGTTTTTGAATTGGGAGGTCATCCTGCCAAACCATATCAAAGCATTATGCCTTGCCGATGTAAATAGAGTATATTATGCATGATTGTTTTGTTTTTTTTAGTTAATAATTTTAATATTCTTATAATAGTTTATAGTAAGTGTGCACGGCCCTTTGAAAAACAGGCTTCTGAAAGGCTACCGTGAATAAATAAGCTTAAATAATAATAATTTGAATAGTTTAAAAATGTATTTGGAACAAGTTTACCTTAATATTTAAGTTCCGTGTTTAAGAAATAGAAAACATACGAATCTTCTCATTTCATTTCATTTCATTTCATTTCATGAGAATATCCTGAGTCTGCAACCACGGCTTCAAGTTTTGAATTGTAGAATAATTAGATGCACTATCTAGTGTATATAAGATATCTATGGCCGGGACACTAACAATCGCCACTCCGAAAACGGTTGGCAATTTTTTAATCTCGAACGGTCTGTGCCAGTGTAGGTAGTACCAATAATAAAAAACTTCAGTTTGACAGGGATACAACTATACCTGAAAAATACAAGAAGAACTTCGACGTTTCGAGTGAAGGCCCTTCGTGGCCACTAACTTTCCGACGAAGGGCCTTCGCTCGGAACGTCGAAGTTTTCCTTGTATTTTTCAGGTAGATACAGCAGCCTCGTACCCAGGCGCTAAAAATGGGCACACTACAGTGTTTTTATGTAGATCAGTGGCTCGAACGCGCGGGGCACCCCCGCGCGCTCGCTCATCTTAGCCACTGATCTGTATAAAAGTACTGTAGTGTGCCTATTTTTAGTTAATTGCGCCTGGGTACGAGGCTGTAGATACAGTACATGCCTATCAATCTGAAGCTTTCTTAGCAATTTCTAAACCACAAAGACAAAGTCGTGTCCCGAGAATGGATGATTCCAGCTATATAGACTAAATTTTGATCTCGGCAAAAAGAACAAAATCCATTACCACAGCTAGAAAGAGCATGTTTGTGTGATGTTACTCTGAGTGTATATCCACACCGGGCAGGCTTGAAAAATATGCCTGGCCACGGCGGGATTCGAACCTACGACCTTTGGAATACTAGCCCAATGCTCTTCCGACTGGGCTACGCGGTCAGGTCGGTTCGAGAATATTTCAAATTTTCAAGCCTGCCCAGTGCGGATATACACTCAGAGTAACATCACACAAACATCTTATTGAGTTATTCACCTGAGTACATTATACACAAACACAGCCGATTTCTAGAAAGAGCATGTTAAAATTAGTACAATTGCACAATTTGACAGCGAGATGTTGTAGAATGAGGAAAATATAGCCCTGCGAAATTTGCAATTAAATTTTATCACTTTCGGCCGAAATGCGGTGCATTCTCCTGCGCGTAATACAAATTAATACAAAATTTGCAAATTTCGCAATTTTACTAAACTTTGCAATTTTACTAATTTTAACATGCTCTTTCTAGCTGTGGTGATGGATTTTGTTCTCCTTGCCTAGATCAAAATCTAGTCTATAACTGGAATTATCTATTGAAATTTTAGCACTGTCCAATGGACGACTTGCGCTTTAGAAAAATTTTTAATAATAATAATAATGATGGTTTATTATTACGTAAAATGGCACCAATTGGTGAATTACTTTACATTTACATCTAGAGAATCCAAAATCTATATATATATAAATATCTACAACTTACTATACTACTATAAAATGTCTAAGAATATTTTGAGCTTATCTATTTGAGTTGCAGTAACTAACGTTAGTTGGGAAAAAACTGTTTTTGAACCGATTTGTGTTACATTTAAAAATGTCGAGATTTTCACTGTTTCGAAGTTTTCGGCCATGTCTCTGAAATCTGGTTTCTGGTATGAGATACGACAGACGATCACCACTAGTCGACTTAATTTGTTTAAAAAGTTTTTGAGATAATTGTTGTCTATTTTCCGCTAATGACAGACAACCAGACATTGAAAGTGCATCATTATACGATTGAAATGGATATATAATTCGGAAAGCTCTTCGTTGAATTTTCTCAATTTTATCAGACAAGTACGTCGGAAGACTCGAGTGCCAGACTGGGCAACCATATTGTAGGATTGATCTGACTAATGTTTTGAAGATTGTTATTAGATCATCAACAGGAAGTCCATTACGCTTTAAGACACGTATGATATATAACCGTTTAGCAGCTTTCTTTGTAATATTGTCAACATGACTTTTCCATTTCAAGTCATTCTGAAGAGAAATTCCAAGAACTTTAGCGCTATCGACAGTGTCAATTGGAGTACCATTGATGTAGAGTTGGGAAAGGTTGGGTTTATCGCGAAGAAAACTTATTCTAAGTTCTTTACATTTTTTCGTGTTCAGTTTCATATAGTTGTTAGTGGCCCAAGATGATATATGGTCCAGTTCTGACTGCATATTTGAAACACCATTTCTTGGTATTACCTCCGAAATCGACATGTCGTCTACATATTTCCAATAATCGCTCTTAAGTGGAATAAGGTCATTTACCATAATCTGGGGATAACAAAGAATATTTTTGGAAAGAAGTTATCAAAATTAGAAAAACTGCAAAGTTTGGTTGCGAAATATTGTAAAATATGGAAAATATAGCCCTGCGAAGTTGGCAAATTTGTATACATTTCTATTACGTGCGGAAATTGGTAACTAATTTAGTTACCAATTCACGCACTTAATACAAAAGTATACAAATTTGCCAACTTTGAAGGGCTATATTTTCCGTATTTTACAACATTTCGCAACCAAACTTTGTAATATTACTAATTCCGAGACGCTCTTTCTAGCTGTGCTGATAGATTTCGTTGTTCTTACATAGATTAAAATTTAGTCTTTAGCGCAAGTCGTCCATTGTTTTAATTACATGAAAACATGTTTCAATTAAACCACTAATTGCGTTCTAATCAATTTCATGACGTAGTGACTTAATACCAATTACATACTCATTAAGAAACCACACGCGCAAACAGAGTGCGCAAAAAATGGCGGAGGGCACAGATTCTTTAGTTGAAATGATGAAAAATCTACGCTTTGATATTCTAAACCCTGAGGAACCGAGCCAACAGGTTGAGACTACACCAAGTCTCCAGGAATCGTGTCGCAGAACAATCATACGCGCAGTTGGGCTGGACCGTTTATGCAAAGCTTCCGAACTCCCAGTTCCGAAACCGATGGTAAATTTCCTAGCAGGCGAGTTATCGACCAACGATTTCTTCGTGAACAGAAACAGTTTGAATTCGGAGAATATTTCAAATTGTATCTACCCCGCGCAGTGCTTGCTGGATAATCGCACTGTCATGTTAAAGTGTATTGGTCCGTGTATGAAGTCTCCAGAGCTCGCCAGCGCTATGAAGGCCTGGGGTGATCTTGAACATGCACACCTAATGCGATGTTTTGCGGAGTTCAAACAAAACAAACATGATATCCTAATCTTTGAGCATGCGCCTCATTCCTTCAGTGATATTCAGACAAAACTACGCAATTCTAACGGATCTATACCGGAGAACCTAATCTGGCGCGCATTTGCGCAACTCTGTGAAGTGCTGGTGTTTCTGCGTTCACGTAGTTTGGAGTACGAGAAATTGAAACCGGAGTGCATCGCGTTCGATTCTGAAGGGAATCTTAAGTTGGATAATTTGTTGCTGTATATGCCTTTTAAGGAAGACGAAATGATGGACGGGATGGCGGTGGATGATGAAGGTCTTAAAGGGATATACACTTCACCTGAGGTATGTTGTAGGATTCGAAGGGACATACACACTGAACTTTGTTAAAGCATAATCCAGCCTAATGTCTTCTTCAGGGATACAGTAGGTAGGAGTGCTAATCATCTTTCGTTAAAGCTTATGGCGGGGGTGGCACCGAAGAGAAAAGGGTTGGGTAAACACAATTTTACGTGAGTAAAAGGTTGGGTAAATGAAAAAAAAAAACTCAAGGGTTGGGTAATAAAAAAATATTGTCATTTCCAAAGCATGACTCCCTCAAATTATATATTAGGACTGTTCGGTATACCGATATACCAAAAATATCGGTATTAAATCAATATCGGTATATCGATACCGGATATTGAACCATGCATATCGATATACCGAAATTTCCGATATACCGGAATGTTTCAGTAGGTATACCGTGTTAAATTTACCAACTATATGGCGAAAACATAACCTTTATTTTACTGCTGAATGGCAATTTGAAAGAACTTTCTACTGCAATGATTTAGAATTTCCACTTCAGTGAGATTTTACACTGAGTACGTGTCGTTCAAAACAGCTTCGGAATTATCGTTTTCCCTTTTAGAATTATTCAAAATTTCCTTCAAATTTTATTAAAGAATTTTCTTTTATAATTATCAAAGGAAAACCGGTAAACCGATCATATCGGTATAATTTTTTCGGTATACCGATACCGGAAATTTCTCATACTGAACATTCCTAACTCAAATATTGAAGACTAAAAAGCAATGTCAACAGTAATGTGTCAATACAATATATAAATCAATCAGAGCCACTATCTACAGGTTCTTCATTGACAACAGAACTTTAGAAATCTGACGAAGTCAACCTGTATAATTATATACAGAATTATTATTGATCATTTTCCGATTTGCCAGGAGGGAAATAGTTTCTCAAAAGAAAGTACATGTGCGGACAACATGAAACATTAGACTGCAGAAAATTGCACAAATGGTATCCTTTTGCAAAATCGTTGGCCAGGGGTGGGTACTTTTTAATGGTTGGATCGGCAAAACTTTTACCAAGAAAAACATTTCTCTTCGGTGCCACCCCCCACCATAAATAATGACCAGTCCCTTAGTGCTGAATTTTTAAATTCTTTCTTATCAGGTAATCAATGAAGAGCCCTCAGATAAATCCATAATATGGACAGTTGGCTGTTGTGCCTACGAGATGGCGACATTAAGACCAGCATACGCTATACAAGGCACAGATATGTTCTCAGCACTCAATGAGATTATGCAAGGCAACCCCCCACCTCCACTTCCAGCGAGCTATACCGAAGATTTCCGAAACCTTATCGATAGCTGTCTACGATCGGAGGCCGAAACTCGCCCGAGTATTGAGGAACTCTTGCGAGTAGCAAAAGAGAAGGCAGGCCCAGTGCAAGGCTCCATTGTCAGTTTATAAACTTTGGCAGTTTTTATTCAGTATCTTTAATGTTTATTTTTAAGATTTTTTATTTATCAGGCAAGTTACTCTCGACGCACAATTCACGTTTTTAAACTAAATTGCAATATAAAAGGTGCGCACTGTAAATATCAAGTTTTTATGAATACTAATGATCACAAAAATTGTCCACAACTTTGAGAGATTACATTCGGGACATTCAATATACTTTACCGGTATTTACCAGACAAGTTAAGTAACGCACAATTCACATTTTTATCAAATAATTTTAGGAAACTTTTTAAAACTTTCAACTTTAATGAGCTGCATTTTATAACATAAAATAATACTAGAGCAACCAAATAGCTATGTTTTCATTTAATCATTGTGATTTGTGTAATATCACGACTGGGTAATTCGCGATTCCCCTTGTTACGTTTTCGTCGCGCTTTGCATTGTGGTTATAGTGGTATCACTGATATTCAAGATGGCTTATTTTTTGTCCTGACCCGTTCAAGAACTTTTTAAAAAAGCTAAGGTCACGTACGCGATAGCCAACAGCAAAATATTCCCGAAAACATTCAATATTTTCATTCGAGGCCGCTATCTTTATCAGTGATACCACTATAACCACAATGCAAAGCGCTACGAAAACGTAATAAGGGGAAGCGCGAATTAAACCAACACACTGCTAAATATTGGTTGGTTGGGCGAAAAAAAAACAATACACACACGACGACGAATCGACCATTTTTTCCATAAACCAAAACAAAACCATAGAAAATGATGTCTATTATGTCTGCGTCGAGTTTCCTGACCATCTTATTCTATTGACTATGAGTAAACAAGCGTCCACACAGATAATTCCTAGAACTTACATTTTATTAAGTGTGACAATAACAGACGTTATCTCAAAAATAGAGAGGTTTTGACTTCTGCTACCACTACCTCTCACTGGCTTAGTACGCATCTGATTGGCTAATCGGATATATCAAACGCATCTGATTGGTTAAAATTGCTTGTTTAGACCCCTTTATATAAGAACCTGTTTAGGCTAAAATTCAAACAGGTTTTTAAACTCTAAAGAGTTGAAACTAAAAACTCTTCACAAAGTAATGAAAATGACCCAGAAGTCGGAATCCTGGATACCGGGTATGTCATAACATAATAAACAACATGTCTGTTTGTTGAACACATCAACAAAAAATAACTGTACCTTCACAAACCGAAAATGAGTCGCTTTTTCTTCAGAAAATAAGAACCTATTTAAGAACCTGTTTAGCCTAATTTCGCGATAAGCACCATTTATATAAGAACCTGTTTAGGCCACTGGTTTAGGCTAACTTGAAAAATCTAGGTTCTTATACGCGGGGTCTTACTGTAGCGGTAGTGGAACTAAATCAAATCTGAACCTCTCTGATATTAAACTCTATAGGTTTATTAAAATTTCAATAATATTTTTTTACAAATTTTTAAACAAACTGCGTCCATGCAGCGCTAACGTTTTGGACATTATGTTAGACATCTTACGTAATTACTACTGAAATAGTGTTTTAAATAATTATTACTGTTCTATGCCCGTGGAGCTCTGTTTGTGTCATATACCTAACAGATTTGACATGAGTCATACTGTAACAGAATAAGCACACGTTGAGGAACAAAAGTACACCTCTAGAGGAATGTATTGTTGACCAGATGACGTAACCTCGTGGGCCAAACCTCGTAGGTTTTCCTTGTATATCTCATAAATACAACCAAAACACCACTGTTGGCATGTTGAACATAATTTAGCAGAATCAAGAAAATCACAGAGATACCTTCCAATCATATGTTGATTGTAATATACCCTAACAAAAAAACAGAAAACGTAAGAATTACAAGAAAAATGAACAAATTTTATCTGTGTTTCAGGGTCAGAATTAGCAATAGGGTAAGGATCAGTGGCATACACTAAGGGGAGGGAGGGGGGGGGGGGCAGTCAAACCCCCCACCACTTGTATTTTTCAGATAATTGAATACATTTCAATCTGCAGCTTTAAGACTAGTGTAGATTAAAGATGGGAAATCACTTTATTCAAATTGTGGTTGCTACTATAGAAATTAATTGATTAGTTACCTGTCCTTTCTGATGGCCTTCCCAGCACGTTCTTGTAATGTTTCACTCAGGAAATTGTGAGAGGTATAGTGGTCTTCTGATACAAAATTGTTCCCAGATACATCCAATGCATCTAGCCATAACTGCGATGATACAGGCCATGGTAATACAACAAGTTGATTGTTACCAACGTTTAGCGATCGAAGATTTGTTAGTTGCCCAATAGTACTAGGTAACGAGGCGAGTTGATTGTTATTTAGTCTCATGTTCACAAGTGATGTCATTGCTCCCAACGCAACAGGAAGACACGACAGCTCATTATTGCTCAAATCTAATGTAACTAAGTTACTTGTGCGACAAATTTTTGACGGTAGTCGTGTCAATTGATTTGAGGATAAATTGAGCGTCTTTAATAATTTCAAGCGTTCCAAAGAGAAATCCAATTCTTTTAATTTATTCTGTGACAAATTTAGTTCTACAAGATGTTTCAGGGCAAGGATGCGAACATCAAACCGTATCAATCGGCAGTTAACCACACTTAGTTTCTGTAAGCTCTGTGGAAATGTGGCCGAGGCTTTTAGATATTCATTAGTCCCATATATCATTAAGTCAGTTTTAACTTTTTGAACATCAGATCGTTTTACTGCAGTAAGGACTGGCAGTTTAACATTCTTGTTGTCCTTAGTTGAGGATTTCAGCGTTGTTAGAAATTTGTACAAGCTTGGTGGATCGGCCTAAAAAATATAGGGCAAGTGCACTTTAGCAGAACCCCTGCATAAATAATCTACTCACTGGCTTATGAGTTGTTCTAGTCAGTGGTAAATTGAGTTCCGCTAAACTGCACCAAAGCCCAAGGGACAAATAGAGCCAGTGGCATACACTTAACATAATTTTGGGGGTGCAAATTTTGGTGAACATATATTTTCCGAATCTTTCATTGATGCAAAATTCAGTCTGCAAACATCCTTTTTTGCTCAAATTTAATGTAATTTGCATAATGGTCTAAATTGAGGTATCATGGTCTCCTGGTCTGCATCAAGCCTGTAACAAGCCCATAACAGTGGGATTTTCAAAACAATGACAAGCCAATGGAAGGCTCTGATCATTTGATTGTCACTAGACGGCAATATTTTCGTACCAAGCATCACACCAAGGGCCCATTCATGGCTTATTGATACAACTTACCTTACTTAGGCATAATTCATGAGTGGGCTGCTTGAAACGTATGGTTGCTTTTCCTTCTCGCACAAACTTTCCAAAAATGTTTGCAATGTTTCCATGTATCTGCAAAACAATTTTGATCTCAATAGGTGGATTTAACCAAGCAAAGTGTGCCTGCTGTTGATGGAAATTTACCTGATGGGTTTATCCCCCCGTCTCGTAGAAATCTATTGGACTATTGACTAGCAGTGAATTTATGCCTCAAATAGAGATTGTACTATTGTAATAATAGCATGTATTAAAAAACTACTAAACGAAGCTATCATTTTGTGTTATATCTACCTTATATTTCGTGCCAGACATGTTGTTTGCTGTACAAAGCAACAAAAACGCTGTGCCACCGTTGTCATTTTCCGCGCTCGTGACCCTATTCCGACCAGCTTTTAGTCCAATAGAAATACTCGCCCTTGTTGCTTTTCGTCTGCTTACTAAGCCTTGAGTACTCGACCAGTTCTGAACTGCAACGTCGCAATTCAAACGCATCGTTTCAAGCTCTTTTGCCTGAATATTTTAAAAGATAAACTCGAGTTTGAATTCTAGAACACAATTTTAGCCCGCCATATTTTTATTTTGGAGAAGCAATGTATCACGTGGTAGTATTTAACCAATGAAATGCCTCAAATGCGTTTATTTTCTGAATATATTAATAATTAATTAGAAGAAATACTGAATAGACTCATTTTCACAACAAAGGAAAAATCTTGAGAAATTTACAAACTCTGAATATTTTTTACATATAGAAGAAGTGTAGTTTCATTTAAAAATGTTAAGTTTGCAAATCAGTAGCTCTCTAAGAGATGTTGTATCAGAAAAGAGATTCCAGAAAGACTTAACAATTGAAAGTTTAAAGGTATTAAAACAGTGCTTTATATGACAATTGTTTTTACTATAATGAAAGTGATTAACATCCTTTTTTTGTGCATGTAGGGTAAACTGGAAATCATTACAGGTGGGACGGCATCCATGATGGATCTTGAAGTTTATAACGAACAGAGTAAACTCATTTGTAAACTCGACAATGATTCCGCATTACTCGGATCTTATCCGTTAGAAGATAATATGAGATTACATGTAGGTAGAAAGAAATGAAAGTTGGAATGAAAATTATAAATGTCAAATGAAAGTACTGTCATTTCAATGTATGAGTGAACAAGTCTATGCTCATGCATTGGAAATTTCAATGTTTCTAACAAGCAATTTGATAGTTTTAATTAGATCAACCAATCAGTGAGATGTGATTGGCTGATGAAAGTAAAACCTATCAAATGCTTTTGAAAAACATCAAAGTTTCACACAAGCATGGGCAACAAGTAGATGCAAATGACACCAAGTGATCCAGTGACGATTTGCTCCTCAAAGTTTTTTTGTTATTTAGTTAAAGTTAATTTTATATTGTTCTAAAGGTAATAAACACAGATCCATCAAAAGTTCTTGGAGTATTTGATGATGTTTCAAAAGTGGAAAAATTTGAACTGGATCAGAGTGAATATGAGAAAAAGACTGGTTGGTTTTCTTTCAGTTCTATTTTGTTAAGCTGCACATCGTTAAGTTAATCATGAGTTAGTAACTCATCATTGAGTTCAACTTCATTAAGTTAATTGTGCTTTGTTAAATTGTACCTTGTTAAGTTAATCACATATTGTTTACTTATCACACATTGTTAACTAAGTAAATCACATCACATGCTCATCACAGCTAACAACTTAAATTGTGATTAATCCTTCTTGTGTTTAATTAAGATTTATCCTGAGTTTCTTGCTTTCACAGATACAGTGTTAGCCTTCAAAAAACGCAACAAACTTGGTCGTTTTGGTGACACAGACCCTGAAGCACAAAAAAAGAAAGAAGAGGAGCAACAAAAAGAAGAAGAGAAAGCAAACACTATAACGATAGGCTCTCGTTGCTTGGTTACAAGATCTGGTGTACCAGCAAGAAAGGGAGCAGTGAGGTTTGTTGGTAACACAGAGTTTGCAGCAGGATGGTGGATTGGTGTGCAGTATGATGAACCATTTGGCAAGAATGATGGAAGGTAATTAGTGGACTGGTAAAAATTTTTTCAGGTCAGCAATAGGCTAGCATCACAGTAGCTGACAGCTCAAAATCTGCCACTGCAGAAGGGTTCACAATAGGAATTGTGTGCTTCAATGTTCTTAATGCCCTGCTCATATCAAACCTTTTTTCATCCAGTGATGTTCAACATATTGATATCCCAAATCCCCCCCCCCCCCAATTTTCTTCCTTCCTGTGTCTTGGCAAAACCAGCTATTGTGGACACTCTTAGGGGGAATGGTAATCAATTATTTTTTTCTTGCTAGTGTCAGTGGCAAAAGATATTTTGAATGTCCTCCTAAATATGGTGCTTTTGTCAAACCATCTTGTGTTGAAACTGGCGATTTTCCCGAAGATGACTTTGATGATGAAATGTGATAATTGGTTGAGGAAACATAATAGGAAAATTGAATATTTATCATTTTAAAGCATCCAAATTTTTTTATCAAAAAGAACATCTGTACTGAAGAAACTATCTGTTTTGATGTCAAGTTTAACTGGAGATATTAAAATAAATTATTAAGATGATGTATATTTAATTTAATGTATTACAGATAGTATTAAAACCAATCAGCTAATTGGCTGTTGCCAAAAAGAAAACCCCGGATTCGAATTGCCGACCCAATTCACTTACGTACATCATTTAAATACTTGGTTACCTTTGTTCCATTCTATAGTTACATTGTCAGAACATTGGCAACTAGCCAATAGTCATGCAAATTATCAGGATTGAGCACATTAGCAGACACTTGATAACACTTAATTGAATACACAGCTAAAAACGCACAGGTTCCAAGTTGATATCAACAGGCGTGAACAATGTTGTGCGGCCAACTATGAACAAGTTGTCAACCATGTTGTTCCAAGTTGTTACAGTTGAACAATGCTGTAACAACATGTTGACAATACTGTTCATAGTGGGCCGCACTGCCACAGCCTTGTTCATGCCTGTTGATATCAACCTGGAACAAGTTGTTGATTTTCACAATTCTTACACGTGTAGTTGAAGTTTAATTAATGTACAATCTATATATAATCAATAACAACTATTTATACATATTTACATCTTGAAGTTTGGTTTGTCTTTACTCTTTAGCCTAGATAGCTGAATGTGGTGTTACTGAACAAGCCTCTTAATACATAAATATCTTATAGACTTGTACTGCCATTTAATAGTAATCAGCATTCTATTCCAAACTTGTCAAAATTTCTAGTGATAATTCCTAGTTGTAAATGAACAGTCCCCATTGCAACAGTTCTAAGTCTATACCTATCAGCTCCAGTGTAAATCACATCAGAAGTCTTGAGCTGTGCTCCGCCACCGAGAAAATATGAGCGCACTTGTTCTTTCCACGAGCCCGATGGTCGCCATGTTACACAGTCTATATCGTGTGTCCCTGGCGATGTAGGAACGTGACAGAACCCGTAACCGTAGATCTGATTCCGACCAAAGCTATCCTGATACCACACTTGAAAATGAAACTTCGGCCAGCCTTTTAGACCGTTCGTTGCAAAATGTAAGTCTATAGGATGAGACCATTTTGCACACTCTTCGTTTTGAGGGTTGTCAACTTGAGTTTGGCCTTCCTTCGCTCCCGCCAGCAAACGCCACGAACCTTCACTGTGAACAGACCATTTACAATACAGGTTATGCGAGGGGAACCCACTTGCTCCGATAAGCTCACCAATAATGTGTACTTCTGCCATTTTTAGTGCAACTTTACAAAATTTTCGCATAAAAAAGACGCCATTTTGTTTTTCTTTCATAGCAACTAATTTTTGAATTTCAATATAACATCATTCAAAGTCAAAAGAAATTAAAATCGTGCGATTTGATTGGTTAAAATAAATCTAACTTTTTAATATGCACGATTTTTCGTCTGCTAGGCGATGGTTTTGTGTTGAAGCTCGTTAAAATTTTAAAATGAGAAATTGTTCCAAAATGCAAAATGAGTGAAAAAAGAAAGCGGGAAAATGAAGCTGAAAAGCCAAAATGCAAATATGGTGAAAAATGTTATCGAAAAAATCCTATTCATCTAGAGGCATACTCTCATCCGGGTAAAGTGTGACTGTGACCTTTGTTAGAGGGTGGGTGGGGAAGCCCTGCTCCCCTGGGGGTGCATGGCAGCCACAGTACTAGTGAGGGCAGTTGCCTCTGCTAAGACTTTCCCGTTGACAGGAATTCTTCTGAGAAGCCATTAGGGCAAGCTGGCAGTGCCCTTTGAACAAGGGACATTGCTTATTCAAAGCCATATTTATTCACAAGGCATATCAGAAACTGCTAGAAACACCTACAATCTTGTGGTATATTTTAGGCTTTAGCCCTAAATATCATCAAAGAATATTCAAGGTATAAAGTGGTTTTCTTGGCAGAGTATAGATTAATAATATGAACAAGCTTTTGTTGGTAGGGATGCAACTACCTGAAAAATATAAGGACAATTTTGATATTTTGAGCAAAGGCCCTTCGTCTGTAACTTAAATGGTCCTGTCATCATAGCTGGTAGTTTGTATAGTGTAGTTAGAGTTTCTGTTGAAACATCACCAATATATTTGTGTGGTGCAGAAAATCCAGAACAAAGTCAAGAACGAAAAAGGACGAAAGTGGATGATGAATCAAAAGAGGGAAGCTCAAGCCTTGAGGATAAATCAGAAAGAATGAGAAATTATGTGCCATTTTTGTTGACAAAAGTTAGAAATATCTCAGGAAGGTTTAATGACAGTAAAATAGCTGTTGGATTAAGAGGTGGGTTATATAATTATGTGATGATGCTGGTGTTGATGGTATTGGTGATGATGGTGGTATTGACGGTAATGATGGTATGTTGGTGATGATGATGGTATGTTGGTGATGATGATGGTATGTTGGTAATGTTGATGGTATATGTTGGAGATGATGATGGTATGTTGGTGATGATGATGGTATGTTGGTGATGATGGTATGTTGGTGATGATGATGGTATGTTGGTGATGATGTTATGTTGGTGATGATGATGGTATGTTGGTGATGATGATGTTATGTTGGTGATGATGATGGTATGTTGGTGATGATGGTATGTTGGTGATGATGATGGTATGTTGGTGATGATGATGTTATGTTGGTGATGATGATGGTATGTTGGTGATGATGGTATGTTGGTAATGATGATGGTATGTTGGTAATGATGATGGTGTTAGTGGTGATAATTATGGTAGTGGTAATGATGGTATTGACCAGTGATGATGGTGGTGTGGTGATATTGATGGTAATGTTGACATAAATTGAGGTGAAAATCAAGGTGTGAACATATATTTATTTTAAAAAATAGATATTTTATCATCAAAAATGGGGGACTTGCAAGCATCAGCACAGTTTAACTACATGTTTGATATTCCTTGGTTAATTGAACATTATCCAGCGGACAAGAGGTAGTTACGAAGATTTTGTGACAAGTTTGAATAATGGAGAAAAATGGTAATGCTTTCTCTGAAAGTAGAGAGAAATTCACCATTCAAGAATAAACGAAAATATTAAGTGCGGTAACTAAAAAGGATAAATCTAGAATAGCAAAAGAGAAACAGTTTAAAGAATTCAAGCTATCAAAAACACAAACATTGTCCTATCTCCCATTAGATCAAAGCCATTACTCATTGTTCACGGAGACCAACGAGAGAAGAAGCATCAACTACAGGAAGAAGCTGAACCATTTCCAAATGTTAGACTTTTCCAGGTTAACATTTAACTCAGTCTGATAAAGTGACATAATTCTTAGCCATCTTTTATAGGGAGAATCAATTTTATCACAAAAAGTATCTATAAATGTCTTCGTGATCTTTTAGGCAAAACTTCCAATCGCCTATGGAACACATCACAGGTAAAGACAAGAATTTAGTTTTGGAAAATTTATACACAATCTACTTAGTTATATTTTTTTAAACACGACTTTTTCCATTTAGTAAAATGATGTTGCTGTTGTATGCTGAAGGTTTACGTGTTGTGATTACCACCGCCAATCTTATCCACGCAGATTGGGACAAGAAAACACAGGGGTAAATTTCTGTGCTAAACTAACAAAGGCTATCTAAATCCAAGCCCTTTTTGTCATTTCAGATGAATTGGGCCCTGTTTGGCATTAATCAGAAGGTTCAATCTCGTTGAGAAAGCCGCATCTGCCTGCTTTCTCATACTCTCTCACATTCTCGACATCTCATCGTATAAAAGTCAGCCTCTTCCCTTGGGCCTGCACGCGGGCTAAAGTCAGCACAGAATGGTCTTAATGTGCACTTAACTGTGGGGTTGGTCCAGTAGACCACCGTTCTCAAAAAATGCCCTGCGGTTTGACCACCATGCGTCTGCACCGCTACCTATTCGACGTTTCAAGAGACACCTTTCCGGATGTTTCAAGCTTTTGGAAATTTCACATTTTAGGGTGTGGATAAGTCCGCTGTTTCCAAAATATTCGCAAGAAAACCAAGACGAAGCGGGGCCAGAAGGATCACAGTTTCAGAAAGACCTAATGGTATTTGATCAAATGAATTGAAGCTTATTTTTTTGTTTATTTTGCCCATATATCATGAGACATAATATTAAAAAAACATAAAACTTAAAAAACTGTATTTAATTAAATTGTTTATAAAAGTTGAATGAAAATAAAACTTCCTTAATAAAAGGCTTTCGTAGCTGATACGTTTTTGTGGTGCATTACACTGATAACACAAACACTTCAGTATAGTCGTTTAGATTGATTCTTTATAACGTATAGCACATTGATTGTAACAGGATTATTTGCATCAGTATGGTCCTGGGCCTTTAAATGAGTGGCGACAACATGTAGCTGAACATGATATGTCAAACGCAAAGTAAGTCTTCATATTTACTGGAAAACTTTATTAGTTCTCAACTGCTACCGCTAGAGATCATGTAAGGGTCATTTCTTCCTGATTAGTCCAGTGTTAGAATAAGGAAACTTAAACTAAACTAACTTTATTTATACAGGATAACTTTATAAGAGCCATGGCCCATTATTATGGTTATTACAGCAGGACAACTAGAGGTATCTTGATTTATATCTCATTTTTACCCAGGGTTCGTCTTCTAGCGTCAGTGCCAGGGAGACACATTGGAATAAATAAGGACAAATGGGGTCACATGAAGCTTAGAAAGGTTTGGTGCATTGTCTGTTGTGTACTAGTTGCATTGAATTGTTTTCTATTAACTAAGGGTCTGTTCTGCCTGTTCGTATGGAGACGAGCTGGCCTGGTCAACCGGATGATTCGTTTAATGAAGCTCTTACCATGGCTTTGATAAACATTCAAAATGACATTTCTAAGTTGAATTAGCTTAGTTTAATTGATTCCAGTAACAGTGTAAAGTTCATCCAAACGATCTTTTATGGTCAAGAAGAATGTTTCGTGACACGGCTCATGAGGTTACATGCATTGCTTAAAGATGCTGTAAAGTCCGTAATGTGAACAAACGCTTTGACTTTGTTTACATTTTGAACTGCTATATTTGTAAAAACTCCCAACGTGAAGTATTCTGGATCTATCTTGTCTTGTATGTGCAGTGTATGCTCAATTTAGCAGGCTTAATAGAATACATTTTCCAAAATGCTTAGTTGTTACAGCAGTATGGTGAATTTGATGACATAGATTCCTGGCCTGTGATTGGTCAATTCTCCAGCATCGGTTCTCTTGGACCAGACAAATCAAAATGGCTTTGTTCAGAATGGTTGAGAAGTCTAGCGTCAACTAACAGTTTAACTTCTTTAGATCATGACCCAAGCCTGCATTTGGTAAGCTCTTTTTTAGTTAGATTATGATCAAACATAAATTTGTGCTAAAACATCATGCAAATTGCATACAATAAAGGCAGGAAGGATAAAAATCCCAGGGTACTTAACCTGTCAACCTCACTGTCCAATTACCGCCGCTCACACCTGACTCGCAGTCATCAAAAAGGTTTGTGACCAACACGATTACTAATATTTCCATGGTGTTTAAATGTGTTTATCCTAACCCACCGTGTCAACTTTCCCTGTGGGAGGAAACCGTAGCACCTGGAAAAACTAAATTTATTTATTTATTACTATAAATCAAACTAAATTTATTAAATTTTTATTTTATAGTTATTTTTTTATAAATCTCAAATCTTATACATAGTGACAAATCCAAAGGAATAATTTTTTTACTAGATGTTTCCTACGGTTGAGAATGTCAGAACAAGCTTGGAAGGATACGTTGGTAAGTTCATGCATGGGTATTAATATCTTATGTACAAGAATAGAATGCTTGAACTTCGTTTTCAATGTAATTAAAACAATAAAAATGTCAATATTAGTGAGCTTAATGCAAGCGCCGATTTTGTCAACACGGACGTCACCCGAAAATTGGTATAACGAAGGGCCTTCGCTCGAAACGTCAAAATTCTCCTTATATTTTTCAGGTAGTTGCATCCCTAGCAACGAAAGCTTGTTCACATAACTAAATTTGGCTGCATTTTGCCTCATAAGCAACTCAAAGCGTGTAAGAAAGCAAATTAAAAACTGACCGACAAACACAGTTTTTAAGCCAGTCCCTGTGTTGTTGCTTGCCTAAAGCCAGTTTTCTACTTCAACCGTATCGTAGCAGTTTCTTTTGTGTTGAAGTCATTAGTTCCACTCTAGTGCTCAAGAAACAAAGAAATACGCTACGTTTCGTTACGCCGGATTGAAGTGGAAAACTGGCTTAATTATAAAGGCTCCATATTAGCCATGTACAAAATCCTTTTCCGGCTGATAATTTCAGCAAAAATAAAACAAAAGTTAATCCGAATAAGGAGTGCATAATATTAACACACAATTCGTAAAAACTGTATATTTCGAATCTAAATCTGATTCATCTTCAGCAGTGTTTTGCAAGATATGTCATTATAAGTTATAACGACATATCTTGCAAAACACTGCTGAAGATGAATCAGATTTAGATTCGAAATATACAGTTTTTACAAATTGTGTGTTAATATTATGCACTCCTTATTCGGAATAACTTTTGTTTTATTTTAGCCATGTACACCAATACAATTTATTACTAGATCTTGCATTTCTGAAAGCATGCAAAAAGGGCTCAGTAATACCACGATTCATTCTGTGAGGGTCCTGAAGGGGGGGTCCCAATCCCATTTCCCACCTGAAATTTTGGCAAAATCCCAGTCCCAGTTGGATTTTTATTAGAAATCCCAGTCCGAGTTATTGAAATCCCAGTCAATAAAAAACCCTTTATTTTTTCGGTAGAATAAACAGTTTTAAGACCTTTAAAGCCACCGTGTGTGCAAGTGGCGGACACTTTGAAAATATAATGAAATATTGGCGGGGGGCTCGTGCCGAAGGCACGGAAAATTTTAAAATTTGAATCCCGGAAATGGCATTTGCAGCATTCTGAGACATGCATAATCAGAAAACCCAGAATTCCGGGCGCCAGAGTATGCCTGTTCGCAGGTAGTGCTGTGAATAATATAGTTAACAACAAAAATCATGACCAAAGGCACTGAAAACGGATCAAAATTGGGAATCGACTCGCATTACTTCAATCCCATTCCCATTTTTGAGGACTTCATTTCCCATTCCCAGTGGCCAAATCCCAGTCCCAGCAACCCAAATCCCATTTTCCCAGTCTAAAAATAGATCAATACCAGTTCCCATTTTACCCCTTCAGGACCCTCTTCTGTGGTTCAAGGTTGCGAATCGCCGTTTGCGGAACTCCCGCAGCGCCTACAGACAATGTCGGAACAAATTGTTGCAAGATGAAACGTTACTAAATCTTTATTAAAAATATTTTAAATTTAATGGTTTTTGGCTCTTTTAAAAGCACTTTGCTGGGCTTTAATATTTATTATTAGAATTTATTATTGCAATAATTAATTACTCAATTTATTAATTGCATATCATTATCAGCGTTGATAAATTAGAAACTACAGGACGGTGGAATGAAACCACTGAATGAAACATTACATCGTTAAGACGTTATATTTGGTTTTTTACAGCAGTAGCCACGTCATCCCCACTTTGAAGCATGCTGAAAATATTTTGTGTGTTTTGACAACTTGGGATAGGAACAAGAAATTTCTCTTTGTACTTCTCTTTACAATGTATGCAGCTTTTTGTTTTACTTATCTCTCGAACTCCAACATTGTGAGAGCATCGATAGTCAGCTGTAGTGTTCGAGGCACCGTGATAGGTTTGCTTTGGCATGGCAGCATAGGCGCTCGAATAACCGATCGGCGTGGAATGACGACCCTTATGCTTAGCACCAACGTGTGCTAAACTCATAATAACGTTTTTCGCCGCAGGTGGCTGTAAATCATTTATTTTCCTTGTTGCTTCGTCTAATGACTTTTGTGTAGAGCTTAAGGCATCATCAGCGCTCTTTTTTTGCGTTACAAAATCATCTATAAGAGAGATTATAGCATTTTGCATCTTAACCACAGCGGATTCCAGGAAGCGACACTTGGTTAAAAGCATCGTGTTGGACTTCTCCTTGCTTTCAATTTCAGGCACTATTTTCTCCAATTTGGTTGTTGGAGCACTCCAGTTAATAACATCATATATTCTAGACAGTGCTGTATGGTGGTACTTCACAGCATAAGGCAGAATATGCAAGGCATTTTGTGGCGTGATTTCGACTTCATCAATACACTGTTTAATGAGGTTCACACACTGATACTCCTCGGCAAGTGCTAATATTGACAGCCGACATTCTTCATCTAAAGGGAACTTAGTTTCTCCAAACATGGATGACGGGTACAGTACTTTTAAAAATCGTACCATCGACTGGAAATCCTTTTCTTTGAGAGTAATTCTTGCTTGACTAGCTTCCTGAAAATGGCCGTCAAACATCGCTTTGAACACGGGCGACTGTGATTTCAAAATCCACTTGTGGACATGGAGTTCTTGATCTTCAACAACTAACACCATATCGCTATCGTTCCACGGTGAGGCGAACACATTTTTGTCGTTTGTTGTTGCCATTTCTTGCTAGTACTCTTCGAATCGCAGAACGCAAAATAAAGAAACATCGAGTCGCTTCCGAATACTTCTGCTTCCTCCTGTTTGACCCTTTGTCACCTCTGTCTGGTACATGCAGGGAGGACCACCAGACCTCCTCACCCGCGAGGAAACTTTCTCGATGTCTATTTCAGCACATGCATGTGCATATTCCCTGATGGAAATATCCTGTGTGCATACTAGCTTCCGCCAACAAGTTGTTTATGATCACATTCCACATTATATGGTTTTATTATAAGTAATAGCATAAAAAGAGGCGAATTAGGTATTAAAACGTCCCGCCCGATGAGGGTCGTTTAGTAAAATTCCCTTGGGCGCCGCTCGATGAGGGTCATTTAGTAAAATTCCCGAGGGCTGAAGGCCCGAGGTAAACTAAGGGGCCGATTACATGGAGCATTTTCAACCCCGGGGCTGTTTACCGGGTTGAAATTTCAGCCCTGTCTGTAATACAAAACTCTATCAAAATCAAACGCGCGATTACATGACAAAATTTTCAACCCAGGGCTGAGTTCAACCCCGGGGTTGAAATTTCAACCCTGCTTCAAAGCAGGGTTGAAATTTCAACCCCGGGGTTGAACTCAGCCCTGGGTTGAAAATTTTGTCATGTAATCGTTTCAACCTAGGGCTGAAATTATCATGAGTTATTCGAGCATACGTGGTAGTGACTATTTATTACAAGAAAACAAAATAAAGGCTTTTTTACTTCCGAGTATCGATGCCGAGAACGTATAGTATAGCGTTTCAACCCCGGGGTTGAAATCGTCCATGTAATCGCAAAAAATTTCAACCCGGTTAACAGGGCTGAGTTCAACCCCGGGGTTGAAAGTTGTCCATGTAATCGGTCCCTAAGTGACCCGAATCGAGTACCCTGGTTCCAGAGGTTTATTTTTATTATTTTCATTGCGAAGGGGAGAAGAAAAATAAACCTCCGGTTGAAAGCGGCAATTGATTCATCGAGCCGCGCCAATCAGTTTGAATTAGGGTCAGATCCTGACTCTGTCTTCTGATTGGATGATTGTATTAAAGCTCTGTGATTGATTCAAATAAAACATCTATAACCAATCAGAGAGCTTTAATACAAATTTAAATTTTACCTTAATTTAATTAATTAAGGCCATATTTTAGAGTAAAATGGTTAAGAGACATACCAAATCATACCAGATCTACATTCTTAATTACTGTACGCAAAGTTTAAGACCAGCCTTCCTCCCCATATTAATATGTAATTTAATATCATACCGCACATGTGTAACATTTATAAACACATTTACAATCAATGCCGCATAAAATCAATGGGCAGAACGATATATGGGCATAACGCAAACACACATTTATATACTGAAAGAAACCTTCGGATTAACAGAGATTCAACCACTCAAATATACAAGCCAAATTTCGAGGTTTTGCTTGTATTTTTGTCAAGGTACTTCACGATCACCTTTCTGTTTTCTTCATGAATTATTATTATAATATAACATTTGTAAATTCTGAACGCTGATTGGCTAAGAGCCGTGTTGATATAACTCCATGTCAACACGGGAAATTTTCCGCCGCTTGTAACACGGAAATTTTTCTTATTCTTCGGGCTTTTGACATTGCTATATTATAAAACAAATATAAAACATTTTTTCCGTATTGATATATAGTTATATCAACACTCGTGGAAGTTGGGAAAACTCGAAATTGTGTGAAAACACTCCGCCCTTCGGGCGTCGTTGTGTTTCCACACAATTTCTCGTTTTCCCAATTTCCACTCGTGTTGATATAACTGTATATCAACACGGACAATGTTTTATATTTGTTAAATGTTTTATACAGCTGTTTTACAGATAGTATACGCAATATAAAATGAGATGTAGGTACGTTTATCAACAATTTTACACATCCTCGATTTAAAATTACATATTATAACTACTAGTTTCAGACTGTCTATATAGAATGGAATTGTTAGTTTTGTTGTTTAACAGCAGTGGCAACGTCATCCCCCCTTTGAAGCATGTTGTAAAACGTTTGTGTGTTCTTAGAACTGGGGATAGGAGCAATAAATTTCTCTTTGTAATTCTCTTTACAATGAACGCAGCTTTTTGTTTTACTTATTTCTTGAATATTGATACTGTGAGGGCATCGAGAGTCCACCTTATTTGTCTGGCCATGGTCAACGTCAACGCTGCCGAAACTAAACCCCGAGGACGGCGAGGCGCATGCTATATAACCAGAATTATTTCTTGTCTGTGTTGGCATTCTTTTTTGCTTCAGTAAATCACATATCACAGAAATCATCGCATCTTGCATTTCAACTATGCCGGATTCCAGGAAGCGACATTTGGTTAAAAGCATCGTATGAGATCGGGAAATTTCCTTGACCTTGCTTTCCAGTTTCGGCAATACTTCCTCTAGTTTGGATGTTGGGGCGCTCCAGTTAATAACATCATACATTTTAGGCAGTGCTGTCGGGTGGTAATTTACGGCATAAGGCAGAATTTGCAAGACGTTTTCTGGGGTGATTTTGGCTTCATCAATACACTGTTCAATAAGGTTCACGCACTGATACTCCTCTGCAAGCGCTAATATTGACAGCCGACGTTCGTCATCTAAAGGTGACTTAGTTCCTCCAAACATAGACGACGGGTAGAGTAATTTCAAGAACTGTACCATGGACTTGTATTCTTTTTCTTTGAGAGTGATTTTGTCTTGACTAGCTTCCTGAAAATGGCCATCAAGCATCGCTTTGAATACGGGTGACTGTGATTTCAAAATCCATTTGTGGACATGGAGTTCTTGATCTTCAACAACTAACACCATATCGCTATCATTCCACGGTGAGGCGAACAGGTTTTTATCGTTTTTTGTTGCCATGTCTTGCTAGTAATTTGTTCTGTGCTCTTCGAATCGCAGAACGAAACTAGAGATCGTCGAGTTACTTCCGAATGTTTTGGTAATTCTGTTTCCTTCTGTTTGACCCTCTGTGAACTCTGACATACGCAACTATAGTACGGCGGGGGGGGGGAGGGGGATAAACTCTCCCTCCCCCACGAGAAAACGATTTTTGTGATGTTATTATTACTTGTTCTTTGGGGATTTCGATGCCTATTTCAGCAATTCAGCACATGTGTCTTACTGTCCCCCTGATGGAATGATCCTGTGTACGGCCCTGTGCATACTTCCGCCAACGAGTTGTTTAATCACATTCCATTCTACATTATATGGTTTTCTATTCTCAAACTGATCTTACAGCATCTTGGGCTAGAAATTGCGGCAACCACTGAGCTCCAATATTTTAATTAAATACTTAACAATTATATTCGCCGAAGGCTCGGTGATTATCGGTGAATAAAAACCGAGACGAAGTCGAGGTTTTTATTCACGATAATCACCGAGCCTGAGGCATTGAACTATAAATAAACTGGAAGGCTAACTGCTATGATGAAGGCCTATGATTTGCTGAAGCCAAAATAGTTTTTCTGAGTTATGAGCAGAAATACTTGTCCCCAAACGTCGGGCTATATATCAAATTGAAGCTATTGAAAATTGCTATTCGGTGTGGAAATTTCAAGACTTCAGCGAAAAGCAAAATATTTAAAAAATACAAAAACAACTGCAAAACGGCAAATTATCGGTAATTATGTTTGTAGTTTTTCAATATTTCCCTTTTAGCTAAAGTCTTGAAATTTCTACACCAAATAGCGTTTTTCAATAGCTTCAATTTGATATATAGCCCAACGTTCAGTGTTGAGTATTTCTGCTCATGACTCAGAAAAACTAAAATGCACTGGCTCCCCCCCCCCCCCCTGAGTTAGCCTTCCAGTTTATTTATAGTTCAATGGCCTGAGGTGAATAATTGTTTTAGTATAATTTCATAGGTGATTTAATATTTGGAAAAAAATAAAAAATACACATTTCTTCGTCATTTAATGGATGATTCCAGCTATAGACTAAATGAAGAACAAAAGAAGAACTACAAAATCCATCACCACAGCTAGAAAGAGCATGTTAAAATTAGTAGAATTACAAAGTTTGGCCGCGAAATGTTGTAAAATGCGGAAAATATAGCCCTGCGAAATTTGCAAATTTTGTATTAATTTGTATTACATGCGGGAAAATGCACCACATTTGGGCCGAAAGTTGTGCATTTTCCCGTGCGTAATACAAATTAATACAAAATTTGCAAATTTCGTACGGCTATATTTTCCGCATTTTACAACATTTCACAACCAAACTTTGCAATTTTACTAATTTTAACATGCTCTTTCTAGCTGTGGTGATGGATTTTGTTCTTCTTGCCTAGATCAGGGGGGGGGGAGTGGATAAAAATCTGGGGGGTGCTGCTGCTTGCTTTGGCCGGGGTCTGGTGACAATGCCCAGAGGCGCCAAGGAAAATGTTTAACAAAAGTTGTCTTTTCTATGTTTTCTAGGCCTGCCTGGCGGCATTTGAGACCATAATATTAGTAAGGGGCGGGCAGAATATCGGGCAAGCACTTTAACTTTATAAAAATACCGCACCGAACAAACGGACAGAAAAATATCGGGCAATGCATTTTTTATATCGGTGCCCACGAGATAATCGTGCAAGAACCTTGAACGCCAAAAAAGATCGAGAAGTATTAGAAGATCAAAAAAATTATCACTGGTCTCAAAGAAAATCTAACCCTCTACCTCCATAAAAAATCAAATGGTCCGCCCCTAACCCTGCTGAGTAAAAAGATCATGGTGTTGCTTCCGAGTATGTGTCAGGAACGTACACGGAACTGACAGAGCGCATTCAGACTGCATACCTCGGTCTCAGGTAGTTGGTGGGGAGATAACTTTCGTATTCTTCAATAATCTTACAAACATGAATGATATTTGGTAATGAAAATGAACTTAAACTCTTATAAATCATCAGGATTTTGTATCAGAAAAGCTTCTACATGAATTATTACTTGTTTTACAGATTGTATATGCAAGAAATTTGAATAAGTTCATCAACAATTTACTTATCCTCAATTAGCCTTTCTCACGCCGCCATTTTTGGGCTACTTAGTTGCCAATCCTGCGAGCGTAACACCACGTATTAACGGCGACATTTTATAATTTTGTAGGTGTATGATGGTAAATTTACTCTGTAAATAGTTAGTTTGTTCTAAAATATTGCTTTCTACATTGTTATAATCGTTTACGAAAAATTACAGTACCCCGAAAATGGCGGGCGTGAGAAAGGCTGATTGATTAACTACATACAAGTGATGAAAACTTATTAAAACTACTGGTTTCAGACTGTCTATATACCTATAGAACACCAATTCTACAGAATTGTATTTAGTTTTGTTCTGTGACAGCAATTTACACACAGTCATGATTTCCTTTCTGTTTTCTTTATGTATTAATGCATTACATGTGCTTTACAGATAGTATACGCAATAAGTATGAATAAAGATAAGTTCATCGACAATTTATTTATCCTCAATTTATTAATTATATTAGAAATGAAAAATTAAAACTTCTGACTGGTTTTACCGGTTTTAGACAGAACATGTGGCTACATTCAATCGGCTACATCAGCCGCTGTTCGAAGCATGAGGAAGTAATCTCGTATCCTCGTACAACTGGGGATAGGCTTAAGAAACTTCTCTTTGTACTGTTCTTGACAATGTGGGCAGCTTTTGGTTGTATTTATCCCGGAAACGTTAACACTGTGAGAGCATCGAGAGTCTTTTACACTTATCTCCGAAGGAGTACTGGGACGGGCGAAAAAACTATCCTTACGACCCTTGCGAAAGGAGCCATAGAAGCTACTATCATTTGTCGACTCATCTCTGGACTTTCTGAACTCTTCTAACTTTCCTGCACGCTCTAAGAACTTTTCAGCGTCGACAACGTAACTTCTTTCGTGTAAAAAATCACTTATAAGAGGGAGTATAGCATTGCGCAACTCAATTACGTTGCATTCCAGGAAGCGACACTTGGTTAAAAGCATTGTGTTGGACTTCTCCTTGCTTTCAATTTCAGGCAATAATCTCATCAATTTGGCTGTTGGAACACCCCAATTTATCACATCATACATTTTTGTCAGTGCTGTCTGGTCGTGCTTTACGGCATAAGGCAAAATTTGCAACACATTTTCTGGCGTCATTTTGACTTCATTAATACACTGTTTAATAAGGTTCACGCACTGATACTCATCAGCAAGCGCTATTATTGACAACCGACTTTCATCATCTAAAGGTGTTTTAGCTGTTTCAAACATAGATGAGGGATAGAGCGCTTTCAAAAACTTTACCATAGACTTGTATTCTTTTTCTTTGAGGGTGATTTTGTCTTGACTAGCTTCTTGAAAATGGCCTTCAAACATCGCTTTGAATACGGGCGACTGTGATTTTAAAATCCATTTGTGGACATGGAGTTCTTGATCTTCAACAACTAACACCATATCGCTATCATTCCATAGTGAGCCGAACACATTTTTTTCGTTTTTTGTTGTTGCCATGTCTTGCTCTTACTTTGTTTTGTGTGCTCTATAATATATATAAAAAGCTTGGGTGTTCCAAAAGAACGTAGAGTTGCTTCCAAGAATGGTTTGGGTGATTCTGTTTCCGTCTGGGTAACCTCTGTGAACTCCGTGTCATACGAAACTAGGTTGCACAAGGTCTTTCCGCATAGGTTCTTTCCGCATTAAAAGTTTGGTAAAGGCGCGGGGTTCAAGTTAGGAAACATTGTTTATGGCCCACCTCCAGCCGCTCCAATAAATGTGACAAAGCAAGAAACATTGCCTTGGCCATGGCCCATGTTCCCGAAGGTAGGAAAATATGAAGTACTTCTGAAACCATAGTATATTTCTTGAATCTCACAAAGCAATTAACCGAACATTTTTCGTACTAGATATGTCAGAACAAGAATGGATGGTTACATTGGTGACTAATGTCATATCATGAATATTCATATTTTATTCAAGAATGGTTTTCTGCAGAATGTGATTAATCCACCCGCTGGCGGAAATATGGCATGTCGCAGAGTTCACGGAGGTCAACCAGAAGGAAGTGGAATTGCCCAAATCATTCTCGGAAGCAACTCTACGTGTCTTTTAGTTTTATTCGCGTCTTCGAAAGAAAACGAAGGAACAACCACGCCTATAAAGCAACACAGAATAAAATGCTATCAAATGGCAACACGGTGTTCGCTTCACCATGGAATAGTAGCGACATGGTGTTAGTTGTTGAAGATCATGAACTCCATGTCCACAAATGGATTCTCATTACGCACTCGCCCGTATTTAAAGCGATGCTGGAAGGCCATTTTCAGGAAGCTAGTCAAGACAAAATCACTCTCAAAGAAAAAGATTTTCAGTCGATGGTACAGTTTTTGAAAATACTCTACCCGTCATCCATGTTTGGGGAAGCTAGGGCACCTTTAGATGATAAAAGTCGGTTGTCAAGCACCGGGACAAGTGCCTTTTTCATGATCATCTTTTATTTTTTTAAAAGACATTTTAGCATTCGCTGCAATCTTTTTTTGCCGTAAAAGATCACATATCAGAGAAATTATCACATCATGCATCTGAACTATTCCAGATTCCATGAGGAAGCGGCATTTAGATAACAGCATCTTGTTGGAGCTGGAGATTTCCTTGCTTTCCAAATTCGGCATTTCACATTTCGGGCAGTGCTGCCTGATGGTACTTTACGGCATAAGGCAGGATTTGCAAGATATTTTCTCGCGTGATTTTGGCTTCGTCAATACACAGTTTAATAAGATTTACACACTGGTACTCTTCTGCAAGTGCTAGTACCTTGCCCTTATGGCGTGCCTGGCGTATACCAATGGGAAAACTACAGCGCATTCTCTGTGCCCTCACAGTATTAGTATTCGAGAAATAAATAAAACAAGCTGTGTTAAGTGTAAAAAGAAATACAAAGATAAATTTATTGCTCCTATCCCCAGTTGTCAGGGAGTACAATCTGTACAGAAATTTTTCAACATGCTTCTAATGGGGGATGCGATAAACTATGCTGTTAAAGAACAAAAGTAGTGACGATGTTAATAATTATTTATTTAGAATAATGAACGTAGATTAAATAGAGAATAATACATGGTGCGCGGAAATGCCAAATTTATAAATCTGGTATTTCCAAGCATCCATGCATTTTTCTGTTTATTATATAAAGGACAATCCTTGAAAAGTGATAATTTTTACAAAAAAGCGATAATTGAAAAAGATAATTTTCACATGTGAGATTATCATGAATAATCTCACATGTGAGATCATCACTTTTATCAGTGCTTGAAATCTCTTTCAAAAACTCATTAATAATTGAGTAAGAAATTAGTCACGTGCATACGTCTTTATACCAGCTAAAGAACACTTTAACAAAAGACCATTGTTGTGCAAACTATATAAAGATTTTTATATAAAGATTTTTATATAAAGATTTTTATATAAAGATTTGACTTAATATGCAAATGTTTTTGAAGTCATTTAAAAAACTCGCAGGTCGTGTTTTATTAAAGACACTCGCGCTGCGCGCTCGTGTCTTTAAACCTAATAAAACACTCCTGCTCGTTTATTAAACAGTACATAAAGCACTGTACTTTATATAATAAATTAAATTAAATTAAATTAAATTTCTGTAGCGCAAATTAACATGTGGATATGATCTTCGCTTTACATCAAGTATTATACGCAGTTACCTAATTACTAGAGGTGTGCAAATCCGAATCAGATCCGATTGGATTTCGGATTGGATTGATAAAGTTGTTTCGTAGTCGGATCGGACTTCGATATTCAAAATAAAATGAGTTAGTTGTCCACGACAGCGCGGTTGTCGCTGCATTATTAATTCGTTTGATACTTCAATTGGACGTCACTTTGTCAGCTTCTTGACCAACTTCGTTCCCAGTGTCTCACCTCCGCTCGCAGCAGCTGTTTGGGGGGCGTGGCGGAAGTGAGACCCAGCTTTTATATTTATTTGGTTAAATATTTCCACTTGAATGAAAAATTTATTTTATTAAAGGATTCTTCGAATCGGAATTCTTTATCAAAACTCGGATCGGATTAGACAATTTCGGATTGGATCGGATTTTAAACATTAGCCAATTGTCGGATTATAAACGTCCGATCCGATGCACACCTCTACTAATTACATACTTAGCCTATAAAAAAAATGATCCTATAATATTATATAATGTATGTTGTACCTATATTTGTCAATAAATAATAATAGGCTATTATTATCTTCACAACAATTGTGATACTACTTAACTATGATTATCCTAACCCACTCTGCCAACTTTCCCTGTGAGAGGAAACCGGAGAAAACCCACGACTTTCGGTAGAGCATTGACAAACTCTTTTCACATGAGTCCATAGCGAGAATCGAACCCACGATCTCACAGGTTGAAGTTACGCTTTATGCATTTCATTCTGTTAACTAGATGGCTTTTTTGTTCTTTATATAGCTGGAGGATCCCTGCCTTACAGTTGGAAAACTGCAGCTAAACAACCATATCTAAAGGATTTCTTTTGGTAAGCAACGATTCTGCTAATTAATTTTGTGTCCACTATCCAGTAATGTCAATATAACACTATATAATACTCAGGGAGAAACGAAAAAATTAGCCCGTACAACATGATAACAATAACCTGTGTAGGATCCATTGTTAAAATTGTCTCGATGAAAACTTTGCATTTATATTTGATAGCCGTTGGAAGAGTGAGTGTTTGGGACGTAGTCGTGCCTCACCACATCTCAAATCTTATACGAGAATATCACCAGATCTAACCAAGGCAGCCTGGTTCATTATGACAAGGTATAGTGTCGACATTAGTGTATAGATCCATCTTGTATTTTGTGTGCTGTATGTAAATCAGCCTTTACTGATAACAGAGATGTATCAACGGTATATTGCATTGCATGTGAAATAGTCTGGATCTATCTTGTCTTTGGTGTGCTGTATGTAAATCAGTCTTCACTGATAACAGAGACAAAAATTATACTTCGATCACTTTAATTTGCCATGGGCATGGTACCAACCATTACGATCATAATACGCATGGAAGCCAGGTTTATTAATCGACCATACGGAAACTCTCACAGTTTTCTGGAGGAAACACTAGACACTAGACACTAGAAAAAGCGGGATGGACGGTCTATTATAATATATTAAAATTTTGATCATTACCAGTGCTAATCTATCAAAAGCTGCTTGGGGTGCTTTGGAAAAGAACGGGAGTCAACTTATGATCAGATCGTATGAGATTGGAGTTTTATTTTTACCACAAGATTTTGTAAGTATTTGACTTTATTAACATAACCATGCACATTTTTTATTAGCTTGCATTTACTGTATTTGTTTTCTTGCAATCATTTTAAACTAGGACACATCAGAAAAGTTCTTCAATTTACCTGAAAATCAAGCAGAATCTAATGGTGTTATCTTGAGGTTACCATTTGATCTACCAGTGGTACCATACACTAATGAAGGTAATTAGTTCTGCACTGTACCATTTGTAATCTTGACTGTTTGGTTGTTATAGAACTTCAATTCAACTCCTCAGAGGTTGTAATAAAGATTTCTCCCTCATAGATCGACCATGGCTTTGGGACCGTCAATACAGTCAACCAGATGTACATGGACATCGTTGGAATCCATAATTTATATCATAATATAGAGGCAGTTAAATAGTTGAGATAAAATACAAATTCGGTAACCTATAGTACATTAATATGTTAAGTATAAATGCGGATATATATCATGCGTCTGTGAAGACGTTCTGGTGCATCATCTTGAATCATCCGTCTTGACGGATCATCCATCCTGGTGTAACCACAAGACGAACAATCTACATGAGGGCAAAACTGACAATGGTTATGGGAACAAATGGTGTATCTTACATTTTCCTAACAGTTTTCCACATTCCGACGATACAGAGACAGTTCGAACATATTGACGGATCATACGTCTGTTTGCTGTGTTTGAACAGACTCAAGTCCGTCTTGATCGATCATCCGCCTTCGCGGTAAACCTGGAGCTAGTTGTACGAAAGCCGTGTGGCACTATATATCCACGGCCGGATAGTGATTTTTTCAAGCTTTCAAAAGTTGTCTGTTTATTGGTATAAGCCAGATTAAACTTTAGTAATTATAAATTAAAGTAAAAGTTACTATTTTATTAATTTTATTGCTAGCGGCAACTAACAAAACAACTTCTTTAGATCATGAGCCAATCGTGCATTTGGTAAGCTCTTTTTTAGTTAGATTATGATCAAACATAAATTTGTGCTAAAACATCACGCAAATTGCATACAATAGGGGCAGGAACGGACCAAAGAGATAAAAATCCTAGGGTACTTAATCTGTCAACCTCACTGTTCAATTACCGCCGCTCACACCCGACTCGCAGTCATTAGAAATGTTTGTTAATAATTACGATTATCATTTCCATAGTGGAAATGATCAAATGCACTTTACATCAACTATGATTATATATATTTAACTGCATGTGTTCATCCTAACCCACCGTGTCAACTATCTCTGTGGGGGGGGGAAACCGGAGCACCCGGAGAAAACCCGCGACGTTCGGCAGAGCGTTGACTCTTTTCACATGAGTGCATAGCGAGAATGGGCCATTTGCATTATAGACTAAATTTTGATCTAGACAAAAATTTCATCACAGCTTGAAAGAGCATCACAAAATTAGTAATATTCCAAAGTTTCGTTGCGAAATGTTGTAAAATGCGGATAATATAGCCTTGCGAAGTTTGCCGTTTTTCAGTCATTTTGTATTACGCACGGGAAATTGATAGCCCAATCTGGTGTTGGGGCATCAATTTCCCGTTTGTAATATAAAATGACTGAAAATTGCAAATTTCGCAATGCTATATATTATCCGCATTTTACAACATTTCGCAACGAAATTTCGGAATATTACTAATTTTGAGATGCTCTTTCAAGCTGTGATGAAATTTTTGTCTAGATCAAAATTTAGTCTATAATGCAAATGGTCCATTGAACCCACCATGTCAGAGGTGAAAGGCGCTTGCTCCAATGACTACGCCACCAAAGCCCCCGCCCCCGAAACACTTTGAGGGTAAAAAAAAGTATAAAAATTTATTCACCAATAATACAAATAAATTAGGAAAAATTTTATAAAACGTCAACTTGGGTTCGATTCTCAAAAACAAACGTATTCATTTCTCTTGTACTGCGCATGTTCGTAAATATACGTTGCCAAAAACACTATTCAAAATACTTCTATAATACAACTTTTAAAATGGGATGAACTGATACGTCTGTATATCCCATCTAAAATTTTAAAAAATTAAAAAACTCCAGCGGCTTTGGCGTTTAGTCCAACTGATCGTCCACAACTTTAAGTTCTTTTCTATACTACTATAGAAAGGTGATCTAGACTCCCTGACACTCACATGTACTGATCTTAGAATTGCGACTTACTGTTTTGTGAATAAGTAAAATATATAAATCAAACAAAATTTATGAAATTTTATTTTATTATCTTTTTGTACATTAAATCTAACATCTTTATACGTTATACACATAGTGAGAAAGCCAAAGGAATAATTTTTTTACTAGATGTTTCCTACGGTTGAGAATGCCAAAACAAGCTTGGAAGGATACGTTGGTAAGTTCATGGGTATTAATACAAAAATAGATAATGCTTAAACTTCGTTTTCAATTTAAAACAATAAAAATGTCAATGTTAGTGAGCTTAAGCAAGCGACGTTTTTGTCAATACAGACGTCGCCCGAAAATTGGTATAAGTACAGGATGTATAAAAAATAGGTACGCAGTGCGTACATGTTGCATGCCCTCTCCCCTCCGCAGAGGCTTTAGTTGCCTTTCATTTCCTTCACACTTTTCCGCCTGAGCTCCTTTGCCCAGTGACTCCGCCTGTGTTCCGAGATCCGCCATGTACAGTGTAGTGAAATGTATCTCATCGTGATAAATCATAGGACAACTAAAGCAAAGAATAGACCAGAAGTGTCACTCGACGAGTGCTGATGTGAAAATACCCAATCATATGACGCCATCCTGGAGTGCACACAGAAGTTTTTCATGGGTACAAACATAGGTACAAAGTGCCGTGTACACTCCAGGATGGCGTCATAGTACGTAAAAAATTTCAGACGTTTTTCCCAAGCCAAAACACATAGGAGTGTCCCTTCTGGTCTACTATCTATTCTGTGACTAAAGCCTTCAGGCCGATTTCCATTCAGTGCAAAATATCGCAAGATCAACTTTTTGTGATCACTTTCTTTTGAAACACGTTCAGTCCACCTGATCCGTTGCGTTTGATTGCTTGTATTTCAGAAGAAAGTGATCGCAAAATGTCAATCGCGCGACATGTTGCACTGAGTGGAAATCCGCCTTTATGGTCTGCAAGCGCTTATAAATTTTGGTACAACTGGCCTGAAACTTAACATATTGATTCGATAAGTTTAATATCAATATATTTATTGAAAAATAGCTATTATGTCAAAATAACAAAACTTTTTCAAACTTTTCGCGACTGTTCATCTGTAGTTGCAAGGGACGGTAATATCAAGGTCAACAGGTCAATGTTTTATCACTGATTGACTATTAACCGTGACTATTCGAAGTAAACAATGTTTATATTTTCCTACAAATTTAGCTTTATTGTGGCTTACTGAAAGTGTTAAAACCGTGGAATCCGTGAATTACTATGATTGAAAATAATTATTAAACTATGATCTCGACTAGTCGACTATGATTGAAATTATCGAAGTAGAATGCTATATCGTTGTATTAAATTTCAGTAGACAATAGTTCATGTTATTATATTTACAGAATGTGATGTAGTTTTGAAATTTGAAGTTTTACACACAATATAGTCAGTGCTAGCACAATGACTTCGTTTCAATTTGGGCATATAAAAAATTAAAATTTTGATAGGTAGCGTGGACTTTCACAAACATAAACGCCTGATAATAGATAAATAAATATCAGTGCGAGCACAACCGCCCCAATATAATAACAAATAACAGAATATAAGCTAAATTAAAAACAGCAAAGCTTTACCTACCTGGATCTAATTTTCTAAGGCGCCAAATTACGTACATTTTCGACGAAAACTTAATATTTTCTTTGCATTTTCCTCGACGAAAGCCGTGAACAAAAGCGTGCATATTAAAGTTTCAACTTTCACATCACATGAAATGATGAAAATGCTCGTCGGACTGACTCGGCATTTGTCGTATTTTACGAATCTGTCACGTGATTTACCACCGCCCGTACACGGTACACCGTACACCGCGACACGAAATTTAGAGCTATATGAAAGTTGCATGCCCATATATGGGCATGCAACAAAAAACGCAATCTTGGAATTTCCCAAGAAATCGACATTGTTTTAAAGACAAAAGATTTTAGGCGCCTGGGAACTTAAAATAGCACAACTGTCAAAATTACTGCACACGCGAGTGCATAAAGCAAAATTTATGCATTTATTTAATGTACAACAACAGTAATATGATCTATTAGCAATTCGATTTCAATTCCCAGGGGCCTAAAATCTTTTATGCTTAAGAATTGCAAAGTGTTTCTTAGGAAATTTCGAGGTTGCGCTTTTTTTATACACCCTGTATAACTCATTTTGGCAGCATTTTTCTTCATAGACATAGTGCTCTTGTATAAGGAAGCAACGTTTTGTGTGTTGAAGATTACAATAAACTAACACAAACACAGTTTTTAATCCAGCCCCCCTCTGCAATCTGATTTTTTACATTATTGTTATTTAATTTATTAATTGCATATAATTACATCAGCGCTGACAAATGAGAAACTACAGGACGGTAGAATAGAATGCCCTTACCAGCCTTTTAGAGCAGTGGTTACGTCATCCCCACTTCGCAGCATACTGAAAAAAATTTGTGTGTTTTGACAACTTGGTATAGGAACAAGAAAGCTCTCTTTGTACTTCTCTTTACAATCTAGACAGTTTTTGGTTTTACTTATCTCTGGAACTCCAACGCTGTGAGGACATCGGCAGTCAGCTTTAGTTTTATCTTGATAGGTTTGGGCAGACGTACCATAGGAATAGATAGGATAACCGCCCAGCGGCATAGGATAACTGCTCGACACGTCTAAAACTTTTATTTTCCTTCTTGCATCGTCTAATGACCTTTTTGTGGAACTTAAGGAATTATTAGCGTCATCAGCGATCTTCTTCTGCTTTAAAAAATCACCTATAAGAGAGATTATAGCATCTTGCATCTTAACTACAGCGGATTCCAGGAAGCGACACTTGGTTAAAAGCATCGTGTTGGACTTCTCCTTGCTTTCAATTTCAGGCACTATTTTCTCCAATTTGGTTGTTGGAGCACTCCAGTTAATAACATCATATATTGTAGGCAGTGCTGTATGGTGGTACTTCACAGCATAAGGCAGAATTTGCAAGGCATTTTGTGGCGTGATTTTGACTTCATCAATACACTGTTTAATGACGTTCACACACTGATACTCCTCGGCAAGTGCTAGTATTGAAAGCCAACATTCGTCATCTAAAGGTGACTTAGTTTCTCCAAACATGGACGACGGGTACAGTACTTTTAAAAACCGTACCATCGACTGGAAATACTTTTCTTTGAGAGTAATTCTTGCTTCACTAGCTTCCTGAAAATGGCCGTCAAACATCGCTTTGAATACGGGCGACTGTGATTTCAAAATCCACTTGTGGACATGGAGCTCTCGACCTTCAAGAACCAACACCATATCGCTATCGTTCCATGGTGAGGCGAACACATTTTTGTCGTTTTTTGTTGCCATTTCTTGCTAGTACATTGTTCTGTGCTTTTCGAATCACAGAAGGAAACTAAAAGAACGCCGGGTTGCTTCCGACATAGCCGGTCTACCAAGATATGATGGTCTGGAAACTAAACAGAAGTCCTTGTGTTGTTTTTGTCTGAGTTTATGTTAATTTGTGCGCAGTCACGGTGATTGACCTCATTGTATTTTCGTATAATCAAGTGACCGTCCAATAGGGATAACTGAGATGAAACGTGCAACCACGATGAATAATATTTAATGAAGTTGAGACAAAGGATTTGTGTACGGTGCGGTACAGTTCAACATCAAACAAAGCTCTTCATTTTGTGGTTTTCAAGTTTGCCGGGCTTCGAGACCATCATACCTTGACAGACTATCATACCTTGACAGACCATACTTAGGAGAATGCAAAGTTCTGCTTCCTTCTGGTTGACCCTCTGTGAACTCTGACATACGCTACTGGTACATGCAGGGGGGGGGGGCAGGAGCATGATTTTTGTAATATTACTACTTCTCTTTTAGGTATTATTTGAATATCTATTTCAGCATGTAGTCTTAGGCAGCGTTTACACTGTACCGTTTTCGTAGCGTTCTCGTATTGTTCTTAATCCTCAAGGGAACGCAAGACAATAGTCTAGTTCTCTCGAACAATACGAGAACGCTACGAAAACGGTACAGTGTAAACGCTGCCTTACTGTCCCCCTGGTGCGTACGGCTCTGTGCTTACTTACGCCAACGAGTTGTTTCGTCACATTCTACGTTGTATGGTTTTATATTCTCAAAGATCTTAACTTAAAGCATTTTGGGCTAAGCCCCAGACGATTATACTCGTCACAGAGATAGTGCAGGTTGTCAGAAAAAGGATTTAAAAAGTTCCATTGCATTTCGTGCATTTTCTTTTTCTCTGTTGAGGTAGGAAACGTTCATTTTCTTCAATAATCTTAAAGAAATGAAGGATGTTTGGTGGGGAAAATGAACTGAGTGTTACGTAAATCAGCCGAATTTTGTATCAAATATACAAGCTACTTCACGATCACCTTTCTGTTTTTGTCATGAATTATTGTTTTACAGCTGTTTTACAGATGGTGTACGCGATAAATGTGAATATATAGGTACGTTTATCAACAATTCATGCATCCTCATTTAAAATTACATATAACTACTGGTTTCAGACTGTCTGTATAGAATGGAATTGTTACTTTTGTTCTTTAACAGCAGTGGCTACGTCATCCCCTATTTGAAGCATGTTGAAAAACGTTTGTGCGTCCTTACAACTGGGGATAGGAGCAATAAATGTCTTCTTGTACTTCTCTTTACAATGAACACAGCTTTTTGTTTTATTTATCTCTCGAATATTGGTAGTGTGAGGGCATCGAGAGCTCGTGGCAACGCCACTAAAGCTCGTATTAGGATTCTGTATTGAACTACCAAAGCCGTAGGAACTCTTTTTATTATTATTTTTCATCATCTGTAATGACTCATCTGCCATCTTTTTTTGCTTCAAAAAATCACACATCAGAGAAATCATTGCATCTTGCATCTCCACTATGCCGGATTCCAGATAGCGACATTTGTTTAAAAGCATCTTGATGGTAGTGGAAATTTCCTTGCTTTCCAACTTCGGCAATACTTCCTCGAGTTTGGATGTTGGAGCGCTCCAGTTAATAACATCACACATTTTAGGCAGTACTGTGTTGTGGTACTTTACGGCATAAGGAAGAATTTGCAAAACATTCTCTTGTGTGATTTTGGCTTCGTCAATGCATAATTTAATAAAGTTCACGCACTGATATTCATCAGCGAGCGCCATTATTGACAACCGACTTTCGTCATCTAAAGGTGTCTTAGTTTCTCCAAACATGGACGAGGGATAGAGTAATTTCAAAAACTGTACCATCGATTCGAAATTCTTTTCTTTGAGAGTGATTTTGTCTTGACTAGCTTCCTGAAAATGACCGTCAAACATCGCTGTAAATACTGGCGACTGTGATTTTAAAATCCATTTGTGGACATGGAGTTCTTGATCTTCAACAACTAACACAATATCGCTATCATTCCACGGTGAGGCGAACACATTTTTATCGTTTTCTATTGCCATTTCAAATTTTCTAGTATTTTGTTCTGACTTATAAGTTATGTGGAATTATAGCCTGCGTGGCAGGCCCTTTAATTACTGCATTCTAATTCATAAATTGTTTGTGTGGGCGAAAATAGCACACTAGTTCAAGTATTTCATTGCTACGCATACATTGCTTCGTGTCGTTTTACCCTTTCCAATTGTTTCCTTATCTAACTTGTTGATATAGTAAAGAACTATAGTGCTGAAACAAGTCAAAGTTAAACCCTCGCAGGTAAATTCCACATTCTCAAACTATGAGAAATTCAGGTTGCTACGCAATGCCAATGGTTCCGAATAAATTTGGCATGGAAGGTTGCACATGAATAATTCCACAATTAGCAAAACAAGCAAATGGTACAAGGCTGTACTTTGAAAGACTATTTTCTGCAAAGTGCGCATGTTGTTTGGGGGAATATCACGCATGCGCTCTTCTTTGCTGCGAAAAGTTGCGATGAGCTGTTTGCCGCACACTAGGAATTTTTGTCACGAATGTTTGATATTTGGTGTTCACGACACGAGTGACAAACATGTTTGATATTTGTTGTTCACAACACGAGTGACAAAAATCCTGAATATTTTCCCCGCACACTAGGATTTTTGTCGCATGTAATGGACCTTTCCCCTTATAACTAAAATTTCGATCTAGACAAAAATTTCATCACAGCTTGAAAGAGCATCACAAAATTAGTAAAATACCAAAGTTTTGTTGCAAAATCTTGTAAAATGCGGATAATATAGCCTTGCGAAGTTTGCCGTTTTTCAGTCATTTTGTATTACAAACGGGAAATTGACA